CGCAACTGGTCAACGGAGCGTTACTCGGTTTCGGCAAGGACAGAGGGAGAGAATAGTACTGGTGGGGGGCAGAATTGTGGGATTCGGGGGCTGGTTCGGGAAGGATTAGGAAAGGAGAATTATCGGCCAGGCTTGGCGGACCTACAACTGGTGAATACTCCGGTGACCGAACAGAGGCCGATATACGCGATTAAAACAATTAACGGGAGGAAGAAGGCGGCTCCATCTCGGGGAAAGAAGAATAAAGCTGACTCTAATGAGGATATGGAGGTGAACTGGGATCCCAAAAAACCATGCTTGACCGTAATTGTCGAGGACATTATCTCAACGGCGGAGGCTGCGGAGCAGTCCCGCCGACAACAATGAATTGTCTATTTTGGAATTGTCAAGGGCTTGGGGGTCCTTTGACAATTCATACACTCGGAGAGATTCTCCGAGTTCACAACCCTCAGGTGGTGTTTCTCTCCGAAACCAGAGCGACACCACAGTTGATTGATAGGTTAAAACAACGGTGGAATTTATTTGGGTTTGCTGGCGTTCGTACGACCAATGGTGGGGGGTTAGCATTACTCTAGTGCAAAGATGTGGTAGTTGATTTGAGAGCCTATTCGCAGAATTTCATTGACGTGACGGTGGAATGCCTTGTGAGTTTTCAAAAATGGCGGCTAACCGGCTTCTATGGTTTTCCGGAGAAGCAACGCAAACGTCTGTCGTGGGAACTTCTTCGCACACTGGGAGGGCAAAACCAGTTACCATGGATTGTGGGGGGTGATTTTAACGAGATTCTTCATGCATCCGAGAAGATGGGAGGACCAGCTCGTGAGCCTCATTCCATGGAGATTTTTAGGGAAGCTCTTGACGACTGCGGGCTGTCGGACATTGGATGGGAGGGCAAACAATTTACCTGGACCAACAATCGCGAACATCCGCATACTGTCCGGAGCCGTCTGGATAGGGTTTGTGTGAACGGGTCGTGGGCGGGTCTTTTTCCCCATGCAGTGGTCCGACATCTTGATCATACTGGATCAGACCACTCACCAATCTTATTGATTCCACAAGGGATGGAGCCTAGAACAAGACCTATGAGGAAGAGGCCCTTCCGTTTCGAGGCAATGTGGGCAAGTAGGAGTGACTGCGAGGAGATTGTTCAGCGAGCGTGGGAATCGGGGCAGGGGTTAGATGAGGTGTCAACGCTATTGCAGCGTACTACGGATTGTAGGATGGCTTTGATGCAATGGAGCAAAGCTGTGGTCAAGGCTCCCGACAAAGAGATTCAAGAAATCACCCAAAGAATTAATGAATTGCGTGACATGCGACAAACGACGACTACTAGGGCTGAATATCGCGAACTTCAAGGTCAGTTGGAGAAATTGATGGGGGACCGTGACATGTACTGGAGGCAAAGAAGTAAGGCTCAGTGGGTGAGAGACGGGGATAGAAATACTAAATTTTTCCACGCCTGAGCGACGAGCAGGAAAAAACAAAATCGGGTGGACAAGATCCGCGACCAGTTCGGTAATTGGCAGAGTTCTGAGGCAGGAATTGAGAGGGTTATTCAGCAATATTTTGACCATATTTTCAGCTCTTCTAATCCGTCAGAATTAGAGATGGATGAGATCTTAAATGAATTTGAGCCAAGAGTGGGGAGCGAGGCGAACCAAAGGCTGTCTCTGCCATTTACGGCGTTGGAGGTAACTTTAGCTCTTTCACAAATGTCTCCCCTTAAATCCCCTGGTCCGGATGGTCTTCCGGTTTTCTTTTTTAACAAATATTGGAAAATCATTGGTTCTAATGTTACCTCCTGTGTTTTGAACCTTTTGAATAATCGGCACCTTCCCCATAGTCTTAATTTCACTTTTATTGTGCTAATCCCAAAAAAACTGAAACCTGAGCGTATTACTGAGTATCGACCTATTAGTCTTTGTAATGTGATCTATAAGATTGGGTCTAAAATGATTGCTAATAGACTTAAACCGCTTTTGAATTCTATCATCTCACCCACCCAATCGGCATTTGTACCGAACCGTCTTATCACGGACAATATTCTGGTTGCCTACGAAGTGAATCATTTTATCCGAACATGCCCTAATCGAACGAATAAGCATATGGCCGTTAAACTTGACATTAGCAAGGCTTACGATCGAGTTGAATGGACTTTTCTTCGGAAGATCCTTACCAAAATCGGTTTCTTGCCTAATTTTATAGATCTCATTTTGCTTTGTGTATCAACTGTCTCCTACTCATTTTTATTCAATGGTTCGCAATTTGGTTTTGTCTCCCCTTCTCGGGGATTACGGCAGGGTGATCCTCTTTCGCCCTATCTCTTTTTATTTTGTGCAGAGGTGCTCATCTTTTTGATACAGGAGGAAGTAGCAAGGGGCGAACTTCATGGAGTTAAGGTGGCCCCGATGGCACCGGTTATCACCAACTTATGCTTTGCAGATGATACTCTTATCTTCTGCCGAGCATCGGAAGGAGATGCCGAAAGTTTGAAGAGTGTGCTCAGGCGCTTCGCTGCGATATCCGGGCTTGAAATTAACCAAGAGAAGACACACATGAATTTTAGCCAACAAACCCCGTTGGAGCAAAGGGATCGTATTCAGCAGATTCTAGGATTCCAGGTAATTGACAGGCACGACAAATATTTGGGTATGCCCGCTTCGATGGGGCGAACCCGGAAGGAGGTTTTTGCATATCTTCGGGAACGACTTTGGAGCCGAATTAAAGGTTGGGGGGAAAAACACTTATCGCAGGCCGGTAAAGAGATACTCATTAAAGCGGTGTTGCAAGCAATTCCGGCGTTCATCATGAGCTGCTTTATGCTTCCGGCAGGTCTCTTACCAGACCTTGAGGCGGCCATTAGAAGATTCTGGTGGGGTAATGGAGTGGGAAAGAGGATAAATTGGATGGCATGGGACAAAATGTGCCGCAGCAAGAGGGACAGGGGGATGGGATTTCGGGATTTGAAACGGTTTAACTTAGCGATGCTATCAAAACAACTTTGGAGAATTCTCACATCTCCAAAATCTCTACTGTCACAAATACTCAAGGCTCGTTATTTTCCCCCATCGGATATTTTTCGCGCTACACTGGGTTCCAGGCCTTCGGCGACTTGGCGGAGCTTCTTGCTTGCTCGTGATGGTTTTATTCAGGGACTTCGTCGGAAGATTGGCAACGGACGGGATACCTCTATTTGGGGGGAGGCATGGCTCAGAGAGGATGGTAACTCGCGAATCATTACCAAACGGCCGATGACGACACCTTTTCCAGATCGGGTCTGGGATTTGCTGGACCATACTACCATGCAGTGGAATGTGGGGTTGATTATGCAGACCTTCTGGCTCATTGACCATGAAAGAATTCTCTCTACTCCGGTGGGGTGTCCTTCGGCGAGCGATAGTTGGGTCTGGAAGTTCTCCCATAATGGGCGATTCTTGGTGAGGTCGTGCTACTTTATGTTGCTAAACTCGGGGTTTGGGATGAGAGAAGGAATTCAGGGCAGCGGCGGGGGCAGTGGGGACGATCCTGGAAGGCAGTGGAAACTCCTTTGGGAACTTCGAATCCCACCAAAGGTGCGGGTGTTTTGGTGGCGAGCATGCTCCGATATTATTCCAACTGCAGCTACGTTATTCAGACGGAGGATCGCATCGTCGCCGTCTTGTTTCCGCTGCGGGGAACGGGTGGAAACACTCATACATGCGGTACATGGGTGTACGGGAAATCGGCAGGTTTGGAGTGGAGATGTATTTAAATTACGCTCGATCGCGGACTCTTGCTCGACATGGCAATGGTTCAATCATTTGAGTGAGATGCTGGGAAGGGACAAACTGGAGATGGCTACCATTGTTACGTGGAAACTTTGGGAAATTCGCAATCGGAAATTACATGGTGAGTTAGCTATGGATTTTTCGGAGGTGCTGAGTTGGTGCGACAATTTCTTGGCGGTGTATCGGCAACAATTACAACCTTCTCCCCCGTCAAGTCGTGTAGAACGTACGGTGGTTTGGATTCCACCTCCGCCAGACTCACATAAGGTAAATTTCGATGCGGCCTTTCCGGTAGGTTCGGACTTTTATCGCATTGCTGCTGTGGCTCGTGACTCTCAAGGAATGTGCATTAAATGGGTGACAAAGCGCATTAGGGGCAGACCTAGCGTGGCCGATGGTGAGGCGCACGCAGCCATGCTTGCGGCAGAATTGGCAGCACGGCACACATGGCGCTCGGTCATCTTGGAAGGGGACTGCAAGACGATCATAGACGCAGCTAACGAGGGCGACTTCCACACATATTCCTTCGGCGCCTACTTGGAAGGAATCTTCAATCTGTTAACATCTGTTTCGCAATTAAAATTTCAATTTGTTCGACGTTCTTGTAACCGTCTAGCTCATTATTTAGCTTCCTTTGATTCTTCTGACTGTTGTGAGGGTGACTCTTTACCTCCGCATTTAGCCGATTTGGCATATTGAGTTAATATATGGGTCGTTTTTCTCAAAAAAAAAAAATCTAAATACGGTTGAATTGTGAGCCCCACATAATCTTTAGCTCATATTCAAAATAAAGATGGATTTGATGTTCTCAATTCATACTCATGTTTATGAATAACCATATTACGAGTTTGATTTGAAAACAATATAGTGAGGCAACATTTGTGTTGGATACAGACTATTAGCACTCAGGTGCGTTCAACAATGAATTTAAATTTTTGAATAATTTTTTGGGTACATCTAATGACTTGTTATTAAGTTTGTATGACTTTTAAGATAACTGATTGAAGCATGAAGCCACCAAAGTGACCTCTCTGTGTAGATTAGCTTATTGAGAACGTTAAGATGTTATGTGTATATGAATTCATGCGAATATTTAACTATACCCAAAGGTAGGTTGATATTTTGCCGAACCACATATGCAATTCTAGTAATAAGTGTGTGACCATTGTTAAGTTTCCATGTGAGTAATAAGTGACATCCAAAGATGGGCTCACTATTTGATAGGATTTATCGTCAGTACTTGATAACTACAACAACAATGCCACTTACAGTTAATATTAGTGTTCAAAGACATGATATTAATGTTGTGCTAGGCATCTTGAGATGTACTCCATAATTATTAATAATTGAAAAATCACCTTTGGATTATAATGTGAGTATATTGGTTTTATTTACCTTCTCTATTAATTTATTTATATGCTTACACATTATATGCCTATAACACTTTTGTGCTTAATTGCACAAATATTTTTATTATTACCTATTATGGTGCATAGATCTTGATTTCTTTTTTTGGATAGAACAATAGAAGAACCTAGAGTATATTGTCGTTCTATTTATAGAATTTTAGATCATTACGTTCTATTTGGGCATAAGGTTTGATTAGGGGCCACGTACTAGAGGGTTCCTTAAGGATACGTTTTATTTTAACATAATAAAACTGAAACAAATGAGATTTTAACATATCTTGTTTCAATAATATATATATAAAAGGAACATAAGTGAACATTAAGTAATAGTGTATTCTCATAGCACTTCAGTTAGTGTGGTTTCGCTGACTTGAAAGTGGATACTATTTAATTTATTTTTCTCCAAACGGTCAATATAAGGTTTGTTGTAAAACATAAAGAATAAAACTTTGACCGTACACACGAAGAATAAATAATTAAGGGAGAAAAGACTAAGTGTTAATTTGACTAGTACACCTTAAGATAAATATTTATAATTGCAGTTTACATCTCAGGTACGTTGAATAACGTAATTATTCTCGTTTCTCACTTTAATTTGTTCTAAAATATATTTTGATTTTGTACCTAGACACATTTAGTTTCTCACTTTAATTCAAGATGATCACTCTCCTTGAGAAGTTGGTGAGCCTTGATGTCACCCTCCCGGCCGAGCTCTCAGTGGATTTGATCCTACTGTCCCTTCCTAGTTCTTATGAATCGTTCATAGTGAACTTCAACATGAACAAGCTCGATCCACCATTGGATGAGTTGTTGAACATGTTGGTCAGCTATGAGTCCACAATCAAGAAGTAGAAATCTGTTCTCCTAGTTGCTCCTTCTGCGAAGAAAGGTTCTTTCCAGAAGAAAAGGAAAGAAAGAAGTTTCGGCCCGAGCAAGAAACTTGAGAAGGGCGAGTCGAGCGGAGTGAAGAATGACAAGGTCACCAAGCAAGTTGATGACACTTGCCATCATTGTGGAAAGAAGGGCCATTGGCGACGCAACTGCAAGGCTTACCTCGATCAGAAACGTTCTGAAAAGGGTATGTATTTAGTTGAAGTTAATTTGTCCGTTAAATCTTCTGCTTGGGTATTGGATACTGGTTTTGGCTCACATCTTTGTAATGATTTGCAGCTCATGACAAGAAGTAGGAGGCTTAATGTGGGTGAGACCTACCTAAGAATGGGCAACGGAGCAAGGGTTGCTACTGAAGCCATTGGGATGATTTATCTTTCTGTTTTGGATTCTAGTTTTTCCATTGTTTTGAACAATTGTTTATTTGTTCCGTCACTTATTCGAAACCTTATTTCTATTCCTGTTTTGGATAATGAAGGTTTTACTTTTGTTTATGGAAATTCGATTTGCATTATACAAAAGGATCAAAATGTGATTTGTAAGGGACAACTTATAAACAACTTATATGAACTAAATCCAAATGAAATACCTATTAACATTATATCAGCAAAACGAAAAGATATAAGTCTTAACCCCGCACAACTTTGGCACGCTCGACTGGGTCATATTTCCTTGAGAAGGATGAACAAGTTTGTAAGTGAAGGATTGTTCTCCTTGGAGGACGTGAAATCACTTCAAACTTGTGTGTCCTGCCTTAAAGGAAAAATGACCAAGACTCCCTTCAAAGGGAAGATGGAACGAGCCGAGGGTCTTTTGGATTTGATCCATTCAGACGTGTGTGGTCCACTAAGCGTTAGTGCTAGGGGTGGTTTTAACTACTTCGTTACCTTTACCGATGATTATTATAGGTATGGTTTCGTGTACTTAATGAAGTATAAGTCTGAAACTTTTGAAAAGTTCAAAGATTTTAGACACCAAGTAGAAAACCAACTCGGTAGACGTATTAAGAAACTACGATCCGATCGTGGTGGCGAATACTTAAGTACTGAGTTTATAGACTATCTTAAAGAGAATGGGATTCTGTCTCAATGGACTCCTCCTGGAACTCCTCAACTTAATGGAGTTTCCGAACGTCGGAATCAAACACTGTTAGACATGGTTCGATCTATGATGGGGTTCACCGAGCTACCGGCATACCTGTGGGGTCATGCACTCCTAACTGCCGTGTATTTGCTGAATAGGGTTAATACCAAAGCAGTTAACTCCACACCTTATGAACTTTGGCACTCCAAGAAACCCACGTTTAAACATATTAGGATATGGGGTTGTCCCGCTTACGTGAAGCGGCTAGTGGGAGATAAGTTGGATACAAAATCCGACCTATGCTATTTTGTGGGGTATCCCGAGGATTCCATGGGATACGAATTCTACTATGTTTCCGAGGCAAAGGTGTTCGTCTCGAGAAATGCCGTGTTCCTTGAGAAGGAATTTCTATCGGATAGAAAGGGCAGTGTAGTTGATCTCGAAGAAGTTCGAGAACCACAATCTGAAGTTCAAGCACAACAATCAGATAATGAACCAATTCAACAAACCACTAACATACCTCCTGAACCGTCGCTGCATAGATCCGAAAGAGTTCGGAGAGCGCCCGATAGGTTATTCCTCGTTGATGAAGTTGACCAAGGATGTGATCCTAGAACTTTCAACGAAGCTGTATCGGATACAGACAATGGGACATTGGCTAAATGCCATGAAATCCGAAATGGACTCTATGTACTCCAACAAGGTATGGACCTTGGTGGATCCACCCGAGGGAATTGTTCCCATAGGCTGCAAGTGGATCTATAAGAAGAAAATTGGAGTAGATGGAAAGGTATCGACCTACAAGGCTAGTTTGGTAGCGAAGGGTTATACTCAAAAGCAAGGAGTTGACTATGAGGAAACCTTCTCTCCAGTTGCTATGCTTAAGTCCATTAGGATTTTGCTGGCCATCTCTGCGTGGTATGACTACGAGATATGGCAAATGGATGTGAAGACCGCTTTCCTTAATGGGGACATTGAGGAAGAAATTTACATGGCGCAGCCGGAAGGCTTCATATCTTCTGGAGATGAGCAAAAAGTTTGCAAACTCCAGCGATCCATTTATGGATTGAAACAAGCATCCCGTAGTTGGAACAAAAGGTTCGACACAACTATCAAAGAGTTTGAATTTGTGAAAAACCCGGAGGAACCTTGTGTCTACAAGAAGGTTAGTGGGAGTGCAGTGACTTTCCTTGTACTTTATGTTGATGACATACTACTCATTGGGAATGATGTAGGGATGTTGCAGTCAACTAAAGTATGGTTATCCACACGTTTCTCGATGAAGGATTTGGGAGAAGCATCCTACGTATTAGGAATACGGATCTATAGAGATAGATCGAGGAGATTGCTTGGCTTGTCCCAATCCATGTACATAGACACCGTTCTTAAACGGTTTAGCATGGAAGCATCCACGAAGGGATTCTTGCCAATGTCCCATGGGGTTCGTCTCTCGAAATCCATGCGTCCTGAAACGCAAAAGAAAATCGAGGAGATGAAAAGGACACCTTATGCATCCGCTATAGGAAGCATAATGTATGGCATGCTGTGTACACGACCTGATATTGCGTATGCTGTGAGCGTCACAAGAAGATATCAGTCCGACCCCGGCCCAGCCCATTGGAAGGCTGTGAAGGACATTCTCAAGTACTTGCGAAGAACTCGAGATTTGTTTTTGGTCTATGGGGATACCAAGTTGAAATTAGAAGGCTTCACGGATTCTAGTTTTCAATCGGACGTGGATGACTCAAAGTCAAACTCGGGGTATATATTCAAAGTCAACGGGGGTGCCGTGTGTTAGAAGAGTTCCAAACAAGGCACGACGGCTGATTCCACCACCGAGGCTGAATATATTGCAGCATCAGATGCTTCAAAGGAAGGGTCATGGATTAGGAAATTCATCCAAGAGTTGGGTGTATTTCCGAACGCTAGCGATCCAGTACGGCTGTACTGCGATAACAACGGAGCCGTAGCGCAAGCTAAGGAACCAAGAGCTCATCAGAAGTCGAAGCACGTGTTGAGAAAATACCATGTGATCCGAGAGATCATAGAGAGAGGTGAAGTCAAGCTAGACAGAGTCACCTCGGAGGACAATATTGCAGATCCCTTCACCAAGCCATTGTCAGGATCAGTCCACGAGAAACATCGAGAGTCGATGGGACTTAGATTTATGAGTAGTTGGCTTTAGGTCAAGTGGGAGATTGTTAGAGTAGGTGACCGACAAGCCAACTTATGGTTGTGGTCTTTATCTTATTTCATGTAATAAAACAATCGTTTTTCGTTCGTAATAATAAAATATTTCATTTGGCATTCTATATCTGTTATCCCATGCAAGCAGCATAGATATAGTCCTAACGAGTTACTCTATTAATGTGAGTTGATCTAGTAGAATCGTGAGATAACTCAGCAATGTAATGTAACTGTTAAACCTTGTTCCTAGTCGATTCGTTACGCTAATAATGAGGATACCGGCCTTTCCCTTTTGAGACTAGCACTTAGTGTATGTGTACTGCGTCTCATCAGTCCTCGATGTTGTGACATCGGCATACTTGAGTGGGTGCTCATACTGGATGAGTTCACTGAACTCCCTCGCCCTAGAAATCTATAAGTGGTTCTCATTCATCGAGTAATAGGTTTCTAAGATATAGTTGTACACCATTAGTCCTTAAGACCCAGACATCACCGTGACTTCACTAGAGGACCGATTGTATCGTGACCTGTCCCTGAGTCCCACAGCGGACCACTCCAAGGGCCAACATTCGTGCAATCCGAAATCTAGTGTGAAGTCTGTGCATTGTAGTAGGGGATTCGAGCGCTTGAGTAGTCATGGATGTCCTGTGTGTTCTGACGGTTTATAATCCAAGGAATCTCTGGCCAAAGTTGATAGTGGGGTGATTAGGGAAATGTGTTTCCCTAAGTCGCACACGAACGGATTTATAATACCTAGAACGTTCGCACGGTAATTGAACTTTATAAGAGGTCTCGGTGAACCAATGCCTCTAGTTCAATTGGGACATGTGCTGCGAAAGGATCGTACTGTACGCTAACTATATCATAAGGTTCTTGCAGGCACTTCATTTGTATCTAGGGAATCATGATGCGTAGTTGCTAGACGCCAATCTTGATTCGTTGGGCACCGATTTGATCGGGGATTAGGTAAAATGAGTTTTACTCTAATCGGGACTCTTGGGAGGAGTTCGTATAAGAACAATGTGTTGTTCGAATCACAAAGAGTTGTGAGCCCACGGCTAGCATACACCTGAACCATTGAAGGTCACACTTCTCGTGTAATATAGATCCTTGATAACAACAAGCATAGATTAATGTGATAATCTTTGAACGATTGGATGTCGATATGATTGAATCCAAGATTCGTAATTGTGAATTGCGAATCGGAATAAACGTGGAGAAAGAGAGAAATGCGGAATTTAGTAAACTTTCTAAATTGGGAAGTTTCCCGATTTAGCAAGTCCACTGAAGTGGAAGTTTCCAATTTTGGAAATTGGAAATTTCGAAGAGGCACTCGTATCGACGAGGACTTTGAGCTCGTCACAAATATAATTTTGTGAACGATCGTTTATTAGAAACGAGGCCGACGAGGGAATGGGCTTAATGCATCAGTGGGTCAAGCCCAATGACTTAAACCCACTAGGGTTGAAAACCCTAAGTATAAATAGACCTCAAACAAGAGTTTGAGATCAGATTTTCAGCACCAAACCCTAGCCGCTCATCCTCTTCGGCCGTTGCTGCCCCGCCGCGCCACCGCCGATCACCGCCGGTTTTCTCCTCTCGTCTCCTTCGTTTTATTATTGTTGTTTATCTAACTTTTTTACATCTAGTGCTGTAGTTCGAGTGGGTCGAAAATACGAGGTGAAACCTAATTGGAGAGGAGCTGCTGCCCCGACGAATCCACGCACCGCCGCTGCACGGCCGCACGCGCCGTTACGCCGCTCACGCGCCGCCGCTGCTGCTGCCATGCGCCACCGTTCGTCGCTTGCTGGATCAGCTTGTTCCAGCCGTGAGTTGCAGCCCCGAGTATTGGTAATTTGCAGCTTGTACGTGATTGGTTCTAGGTTTCGATTCGTCGAAATCTCACGCTACAAGAGGTAAATAAATCGAAACTTTTGTAAATTAATTCGAGCATGTTTGTATGAATTATAATTTATGATTATGAGTAATATGTGATTACGTGTTTCGATTATATTGAATGATGAACAAGCATGTTTTGTAATTTTCGGTTTTACATGTTTTTCAGTTAAATCGATAATTATCATATGTATGGCGGAAGCGTTAAGGTACGTTGACTATGTGATTAGTTTTTGCATGTAATCGAAACTAGTTCGATCTAAAATTTTTAAATTCCGCTGCGTATACATGCACGATCCCCAACAATAAAAATGTCTTCTTCAAACAAAAATTGCTCATCACCATTGCCAATTCGCATTAGAAATGAAACAAAATCAGGATCTTCTTTGGCTCTCATATTTTCCTCTAGTTTAATCTTGGTGACAACCGGCCAAATCTTTGTAGCAACAATGCTAGCGGCAATCATAGATTCTCTTGATCCACCGGGTACAATGGGGAGAATCTGTCTGAAATCTCCACCAAATAAAACTGTCTTTCCTCCAAAAGGTAAGTCGTTTGACATCAATTTTTGAAGTGATTCATCAAGCGCTTTTATAGAATGTCGATTAGCCATGGAGGCTTCATCCCACACCACAAGTTTTGCAGCTACTATCATTTTAGCAAGACTGCATTGTATGCTTATGTTACCACTACTTTTATCATCAACATGCAGTGGAAGCTTAAACCTTGAATGAACAGTTCGCCCGCCCGGTAAGAATGAAGCAGCCACACCTGAAGTAGCCATAGCCAAAGCAATTTGCGTTTTCGTACGTACAAATGCCAATAATGCGCGATATAAAAAAGGTTTTATGTTCCTCCATGTGCGTCCACAAAAAAAACCCTCCATCATTGGAGTTTATTTTTGATATGATCAAATCAAATGCCATTTGCTGATGAACATTTAACTGATGTATTGAAAGAAAATCTTCTTTTGATACTTCCATGTTTTGTTCATGTTCATACTCTTTGCTCATTCTATCTCGGGTTGAAAAACAGGACACTGGAAACCGCAAAGAAGAATCAGAAATGGAACTGTCCATGGATAAAAGAAAGTTATTAATGGACAAAATAGTTTTTCCCATAATTTCTGATTCAGATAATTCTCCAAGTCGAGAATAATCTTCGGAAAATGCAGAATAATATTTTTCCCAAAGAACTTATGGGTTAGGGGTGATTCCATACACAAGTTGCATTGCAAACAGCCTTTGCAAACTGCTTGGCATTTGATAGTGAACTGCTTCAGCCAAACAATCGTCAACATAATCATCAGGCTCCAACAATCTCCTAAATACGGCTGCTTCTCGAAAAGATCCAACTAAATCATGACCTACAGATTTTAGCTCTTAAAAAGATCGTGGGCACCTTACATGCATCAACAAAAACCATTCGATATATCGCTCTGCTTCAGATGGACTTACTGTGGACAATCTCCCAACAACAATTTGTTTTTTCCGAAGTTTCCATTTTGTAGATCCCGAATCCCACACAAAGTACTCTGGGAATTCTTTGTAAAGAATCTTAAGGCGTTTGGCATCTGGATCAAGTGAATTCATCCATAAGAACTCGGTAAGCATGGTTTTTGACGAAGAAGGATTTTTTAGAAGCTGCTCCAAAGATTGTTGCAGACCGAAGCACAACGGTTGGTGATTCGGTAGATGCACCGGCAAAATTATAACAACTAGATATATCTCACTCATAGGAAATGCATCTATTCTCTAGTAAGCTTCAGGTGCGCATATATATCGGCCATCCTGGTAAGCTTGAATTTCATCATAAGAAGTAGATGATCTATTGCCAACCATATGATAAGCCATCTTATCATGGCCTTTATAAATGTACTTGGACAAGTACTTTACTAATTTAATGTCTGAACATATCTCGACATTAATGTGATAATCAAATTTCGCAAGAAGATATGGCTTATAAGGAACAACGTATCTATTGTCGAGGCGGACCTTGCAAATGACAACAGATTTTCCATTATCTCTTTGTTTATAACAAGGATATGAACTATGCCCATGAACAGTGATGTCTGAAAACTGTTTAGGGTAGTGGTTTTTGCAAGAACCATTTCTCATGCAAACGTTTGATGGTTTTGAAGTCCCGCAAGGGTCGTGCATCATGTGACGAACCACATATGAGCGTGGAAAAGGGTGTTCAGAATCCGGTAGTTCTGTGCTTATAATATCATCCTAGACGTCGGCAGGAATTATCTTGTGAGGTTCCTTCAGAATAATCACCCAATGTGCGTGTGGTAAACCTCGTTTTTTAGACTCTACTACGTAGACATAAGCTGCAACATCACCAAATATTTTTTTTCCTCACAATTTCATCCTTAAGCTCCTCAAGTTTGGCTTTGAAGACGCGTGCAATCAAATCTGGTCTATCATGTGGTTTCTCATTTTAAAGCAAGTTCTCTTGGATTTCTTTCCAGGCGGGGTTACATGTCATGGTCAGGAACAAATCTGGCTTTCCAAATCTCAGAACAAAAGCCATAGCATTAACATAGCATTTTCTCATGTCCCTTGGGCTGCCTATAAAAGAAGAAGGCAACAAAATTTTTTTTCCAATATTTGCGGGATCATTTTCACCATCAATACTTAAGGAATCAATAACACCTTGAAATGATTCCGTTCGAAGTTCCTTTTGAAGTTGTTTGCATCTATAGTAATCTAGATGAGATGTCTCCAACTTCACATAAGAATCAATTGCGTATTGATGGCCCAAATCTTCCAGAATGCAAAAGATAAGACCGTTCATCATCACGCATTTGAGCTTTGTAGCACGAAAACTCTCTACACAATACATTCATACGGGAATTGTTATTAATTTGAAGAACTGCAAAAAAAAGGAAGACAACTATTCTTAATGTTGAACGGGAATTAAAATATTGAAAAGTTTAATTCCAACTACTAAACAAGATGTAAAGTGAAAGTACAAAATTTTATAAGAAATAATTTAATTAGATCAAGTACCTTCTTCTTCCATTTCAAAAATTGCTTCCGCCGAAGATGCATTCGCTGGATTAATTGAGTTTTGACCTTGACAAGATTCTTTTCTTTTTTGTGCGGAAGAACTGGGACATATATTTTTTTCCAGCATGCCAACCAGGTTCACCTTTTGGAAATAATAACGGATACTGTAAAGGATCGTGACAACTGTAATGATATTTGACCCTATGAGCAGAACCGCCATCAGTGAAGACTCGAATATCTCGCTCACATTGGCCAGACACACCATCAGAATCTTTCCTCATGGCAGCAACTTCATCAACAGTAGGTAAATTGTAGGTCTTCTGATCTAGATGAGAGTTGGACCTAATAACAATGTGTGCGTCTTGGAGGTTATCCCAGGATATTAGCCTCTTAAAAACTATGAAATATGGATATCTGATAGAGCTGCAATAAGAAGAGCCACTATATTCGCTCGTAAATCTTTTGATTGAAGAATTTGAGGGTTTATAGTTTATGTTGTGTCAAGAAAAAATATTTGGAGAAAGTCTTTGGTATTAGGAGAACAATCAATAGAATTCATGAAATGGCAGATCTGCCCAACCACTTTAAGAGCATAAATGCCATCTTTAGCCCACCATGAATTTGGATTTTCTTTCATCCCTATGGAAGTGAATGCAAAGGCATTATTATAAGTTCGAGCCCGGCTACGAAATTCAATGATGAGGTGTGTATCAGTAAACAAGGAATATAAAATCAGGCAAACAACAGATTAGACCAAAGAAATCTGGCCATTGGAACAACAAAAGGTCGCTCCCTCACGATGAGAACGAAATGCCCCACAATACGAGCATGGTGGTGAGTGAGGAAGAACCCAAGGTATTGTTGCAATATTTGAAATCCTTTTAAAAGCGATTGGAAATCGTGTGTATTCTTGTAGGATTTTCTTGCATTTATACTGGAAGAACACCTGCTGGTTAAGATAGAAAAAATTAAATTATAAAAAAAATTTTAAGAGAAGCAACGAAAGCATGGATCCAACAATGTAAATATTACTAACATTGTTCTTGTATTGTAGAAGAGGGTTGTGCATACAAATTGTTGCCGATGTGAGAATCCATCTCCAAACATTCTGATTCGGATGATTCCAATAAATGTGTTTCCGCAACTACAACTTCAATTTGATTATTTATCCAAGCTAAATTCGACGGATCTTCCAAATTACGGGAAACACGACGTGCTCTACTTGTAGCATTTCTATTATCCCTGTCTTCACTAATCTTCACTAATCATTGTAGCATATCTGATCAGAGCTCTTTGATTGCAAATTTTTCTTTTTTATTTTTTAGAAGAAGAAGCCATGAATACGTATGTTTATTTTCAATATAGCTCTGTATGTTTAAAAAAAATAGGGGAAGTTTTTTTTGAACAACCAAAGAGTACCACATTTATATGGCTATTGCTACTCACTGAGAAAGTAGAAGAGAATTAATTGTGGTCTAAACACCAGTAAAACATACCACATAAACCGTGTTTATGAGTTAAATAAAAATTATTTAACGGAATAGGAGGAAAAATGTGAGCATACCTTCGAACAACTCAATGATTCTGTCAATTGGAAGAGGTCCACATAACCTATATATTGAAGACAAAATATGATTAGAAAATTATAAAATGACCCATAGTAAAACATTAAAATGAGGTTCATGAAAGGGGAGATTCATGAAAAATATGAAAATAGTTTGTACATTAAGAATGGGGATTTGCGAAAGTAGCTTGTACTCATTATGAGAAAAATGACTACAAATAAGAGTAATTGATGAACTGGGAGCAACGTAAAAAAACAAAATAAAAAAATAAAAAATAAAAAAGAAGAAAAAGTCAACTGCAAGTTACAACGAAATATGAGGAAGAAAGATGAATTGTGAATGAAAATGAATATCTTGTTGAGGCATAACAAAGGTTGGACCCTAGAGGAAGCTAGACAAAGCTACACAAGACATTTAAGTTGATGTGATAAAAATTTAGGACGTCCAACTGCCAGAAAATATTGAAAAAAAATAAGAAAAGTGAAAAATTGGGGGCAGGAGAATCTTGTGGAAGAATGGTATGGTAGATACGGTATATAAAACGTTGTCGTTTGATTATTTTTGTGTTGTTTTGAAGGGAAATAAAATTCAAGAGGTCCCACGTTAACACCAGTCATTTAATGGAAGCAGTGAATGTTATTTTTTGTTAAATGTGCAGAGTGTAAAAAGACGTCGTTTCACGTGTAAAGGGAATTAAAAATAATGGCTATGTTTGGTAAGATTTTGGGCTTCTATTTTCATTTTATTTTAGAGAAAGATGTTTTGGGAGAAGAATTTGAAAATTAAATAAAGTTTGTTTGTGTTTTGAGAGGAGATAATTTGTACTGTAGCAAGTTAAATCATGTCTGAAAGGTGTTGGGAAAATGTATTTTGGAAGAAGAATGTAAAAGTTAAAGTGATTTGATTTTGTATTTTAGTGAAGACAATTTTCACTGTAGCGATCAAATCATGTTTGTTAGAGAGAGAAATATTTGAATTTGTTTTGGGGAAAGTTTTTGAAAATAATGTAGAAAGATAATTTTTATTTTGGGGAAAGTGTGAAAATAATTTGAAAACGTTACCAAACATAGCCAATATTTTTCTTGTGGAGAAAAGCAATATGCAGGAAAGCAAAGGGTCCCATCATTGGGGTATGTTGAGGAAAAGGGTTATTGATGTTCTTACGAAGGAAAGAATGCAAGGCGGGGTCCTCATTAAAAGCAAAC